CAGGTAGGTAATACGATAAAATTAAAGAAAGAAATCATTGAAAAATGTGAAAGTGGATTACATGTTTCAGAGCTTGCCAGGATTTATGGCAAACCCCATTCAGCCATCACTTCGATCATGGCGAAGGGAAAGGAAATCGAGGAAGCTGTTGTTGCAAAAGGGGTAGATATGCTGACAAAAAAGAGATCACACATCCTCAAAGAAGTATAGAGGTTATTGTTAGTGTGGATTACCCAAAAACAGTTAGCAGGAGATAGTGTTATGCAGTCAATAATTTGTGAAATGGCAAGGCAGTTGCATGACCATCTCGTAAAGAAAATGCCTGCAACAAGTGCTGATGTTTGTGATTTTAAGGCCAGCAAAGGCTGGTTTGAGAGATTTAAGAAGTGTAGTGGCGTACACAATGTGGTAAGGCATGGCGAGGCTGCCAGTTCTGACAAAAAAGCGGCTGAAAAATGTGTTCAGGAATTCAAGGGGTACATAGAGACTTGACAATTCAAACCCCAACAAATGTTCATTTGTGACAAAACAGGCCTGTTTTGGAAGAAAATGCCAAAGAGGACCTACATCACGCAGGAGGAAACAACATTGCCAGGACACAAGCCTGTGAAAGACAGGCTAACTCTCATGTTTTGTAGTAATGTTAGTGGGGATTGCAAAGTAAAGCCTTTACTGGTGTATCACTCTGAAAATCCCAGAGTGTTCAAGAAACAGTGTTGCCAAGGCTAATTTGTGTGTGATGTGGAAGGCCAACAGTAAGGCATAGGTTGCGAGGGACATTTTCCTTGATTGGTTCAATGAAGATTTTGCCCCAGTGTGAAGAAATACCTTCTGGAAAATAAATTGGAACTCAAGTGCCTCCTGGTAATGGACAATGCTCCTGCTCATCCTCCAGACTTGGAAGAGCAAGTGGTGCAGGAGTTTCATTTCATCACAGTGAAGTTCTTGCCCCCTAATACCACTCCTCTCCTCCAGCCAATGGATCAGCAGATCATTTCAGACTTCTAAAAACTATACACCAAAGCATTGTTTCAAAAGTGCTTTGAAGTGACCTCAGAGAGTCACTTCAAGAGAGTTCTAGAAAGATCACTTCAATATGCTCCATTGCATAAACTTTATAGGCAAGGCTTGGGAGGGAGTGACTTGCAGGACTTTGAACTCTGCTTGGAGAAAATTGTGGCCACAATGTGTACAAGAGAGGGATTTTGAAGGGTTTGGGGCTAACCCTGAGGAGCCTATGCCAGTTGTGGAAAGCATTGTGGCATTGGGGAATTCCATGGGGTTAGATGGAGGATGTGGAAGAGTTGGTGGAGGACCACAATGAAGAGCTAACCACTACAGAACTACAAGACCTTTATCTGCAACAGCAACAGACCACAGCTCAGGAAATTGCTTCAGAGGAGGAGGAAGAGAGATGGGGGAAGGTGCCTTCTTCAAAGATTAAGGACATTTGTGCAATGTGGACAAAGATGCAAACATTTATGAATGAATTTCACCCTGACAGAGCTGTTGCAGGCCATGTTGGCAACATGTACAATGACAGTGTTGTGTCCCATTTTATTGATGTTTTAAAGAAATGCCAGAAACAGAGCTCTCTGGACAGATATTTTATGCTACAGGGGTCCAGTGACTCTCAAGCTGGTCCCAGTGCCATTAAAAAACAAAGAAAAGAAGTAGCTCCAGAAGAGGGCTAGGTACCTGAAGTCTTTATGGAAGAGGATTCTCCTTCCAAACAGTGTACCTTCTTTCTCTCCCTTCCTCCCATCTTCCATCCACCCAGAAGTCTTCAGTAAAGGTAAGTGTTATGTTGTTATTATTTTATGTATGTATGTACTTGACTTCTCGTTGTTTTCTGTATGTAAATCTTTATTTAACTTGAATTTTTTTTTTTAATATTTTTGGGTGTCTGGAACAGATTAATTGGATTTCCATTATTTTTTATAGGGAAAATGGTTTCATCATTCATGAATTTTGACTTTCAGTAGACTCTCTGGAACGGATTAACCCTTAAACTGTCCAAACGTAGATCTATGTTCACCTGTGTGGCACTCCGAATACTTTGGAAAATAAAAAAAAACGTTTTTAAATTAAAGAGGTATTTTTTAGGAACAGTATTTTATTATCTTATTATCACACTGGCCGATTCCCACCAAGGCAGGGTGGCCCGAAAAAGAAAAACTTTCACCATCATTCACTCCATCACTGTCTTGCCAGAAGGGTGCTTTACACTACAGTTTTTAAACTGCAACATTAACACCCCTCCTTCAGAGTGCAGGCACTGCACTTCCCATCTCCAGGACTCGAGTCCAGCCTGCCGGTTTCCCTGAACCCCTTCATAAATGTTACTTTGCTCACACTCCAACAGCACGTCAAGTATTAAAAACCATTTGTCTCCATTCACTCCTATCAAACATGCTCACGCATGAATGCTGGAAGTCCAAGCCCCTCGCACACAAAACCTCCTTTACCCCCTCTCTCCAACCTTTCCTAGGCCGACCCCTACCCCACCTTCCTTCCACTACAGACTGATACACTCTTGAGGTCATTCTGTTTCGCTCCATTCTCTCTACATGTCCGAACCACCTCAACAACCCTTCCTCAGCCCTCTGGACAACAGTTTTGGTAATTCCGCACCTCCTCCTAACTTCCAAACTACGAATTCTCTGCATTATATTCACACCACACATTGCCCTCAGACATGACTCTCCACTGCCTCCAGCCTTCTCCTCGCTGCAACATTCATCACCCATGCTTCACACCCATATAAGAGTGTTGGTAAAACTATACTCTCATACATTCCCCTCTTTGCCTCCAAGGACAAAGTTCTTTGTCTCCACAGACTCCTAAGTGCACCACTCACTCTTTTCCCCTCATCAATTCTATGATTCACCTCATCTTTCATAGACCCATCCGCTGACACGTCCACTCCCAAATATCTGAATACATTCACCTCCTCCATACTCTCTCCCTCCAATCTGATATTCAATCTTTCATCACCTAATCTTTTTGTTATCCTCATAACCTTACTCTTTCCTGTATTCACCTTTAATTTTCTTCTTTTGCACACCCTACCAAATTCATCCACCAATCTCTGCAACTTCTCTTCAGAATCTCCCAAGAGCACAGTGTCATCAGCAAAGAGCAGCTGTGACAACTCCCACTTTGCGTGTGATTCTTTATCTTTTAACTCCACGCCTCTTGCCAAGACCCTCGCATTTACTTCTCTTACAACCCCATCTATAAATATATTAAACAACCACGGTGACATCACACATCCCTGTCTAAGGCCTACTTTTACTGGGAAATAATTTCCCTCTTTCCTACATACTCTAACTTGAGCCTCACTATCCTTGTAAAAACTCTTCATTGCTTTCAGTAACCTACCTCCTACACCATACACTTGCAACATCTGCCACATTGCCCCCCTATCCACCCTGTCATACGCCTTTTCCAAATCCATAAATGCCACAAAGACCTCTTTAGCCTTATCTAAATACTGTTCACTTATATGTTTCACTGTAAACACCTGGTCCACACACCCCCTAGGAACAGTACTTACCAAGATATAAGACAGTGAAGTTGGCTCCGGATGCTCACCTGACGGCAACGTCCAGTCCTGCCGCTTGCAGAAGTGTTGCCGATTTACCTTTTTTCCTCGTTTTTATTTCAATTTATATAATTTTTATGTTCTGATAATTACAATTCATAATAGTTCTTGTGATTTTATAGCCAATCTTTGTTCTGACACTAATATTATGTACTGAAATAGTACTCAAATTGTAACAAACACATTGACAGGTGAACATTTTTATCTTCCCTGGTCATTTACTATTATCTAGAAATATATACAAAGTATTTATAGGTCCCAGCAATGTTTTAGACACTCTGGAGTATGAAACTCCTTGACTGGTGTTATGACAAGGGTCAGGTAAGTGACATTTGATGAATGTGCACTGCTGGAGGGGGGAACCTTGTCTTTATATGTTTTTACTCTTGCACACAAACATGTCTCTGTATGTCTGCCAGTCTATCTGTACATCTATCTGTCTAACTCTGCTTATCTGTCTTTGTCTGCCTGTGTGTATCTGTCCTTCCATCTGCTTGTCTCTGTCGCAGAGCGGCTAGTAAACCTGTTGGTTTGTGGTGTATGTGCCGCTCCCTGATTGCTGAGCAAGTGACACTGCTATTATGTGCATCATGTTTATTTATGTCTTATATCTACAAACACTGTATAGCACTTGGCCTGGAATTTTTGGGTTATCCTAGGTAATTTACATTATATATAATTGTATTTATGGGTACATGTGAGAGACAGATACAAATAGAGAGTGATATATACAGATACAGATATATACAGATAGACAGAGATATAGACAGATACAGACAGCCAAAGCCAGCCAGCTAGCCAGTCGAATACATAAGAACATAAGAAAGAAGGAACACTGCAACAGGCCTACTGGCCCATGCAAAGCAGGTCCATGTCACCCCCCAGCTTAGACCAATGACCCACCTAGTTAGGTCACACCCACTGAAAGAAGAAACATGACATCTGACCTAGTAGTATAAGCTAGTCAGGTCCAACTCACACCCATCCACACCCACTCATGCATTTATCTAACCTATTTTTATTTTCCTCTTAAAATGTGAGTGTTAATATGACATGACATCAGTGAATCCTTGGTGTTTGCCATGATATTTGCTCTAGCTGGTGCTTGGTTGAACTGGTGCTCCCACAAGGTACTAAGTGCTCCCAGATTTTTTTCATAGTGCGCACACTGAGTGCACAGACCCATTCTTTCACGTCTAGGTGACTCAGGCCTATCACAACAAATTTGACGGAATGAAAAATAAAATGTTGATCTACGTTTGGAGCCTGTCGCACATCATCGTATATCTACGTGTGGACAGTTTAAGGGTTAATCGCGAAATTCGAGGGTCCACTGTATGTGTAATGTATGTAATACATTACTAGTTTTTCAGTTGTAATGTATGCCATTTCTTGTATTCTAGGGAGAAGATGGTAAATTAGAAGTAACGATGAAATATCCGCATTTGTTCCCCATTACTAAAAAGTGCCGTGTGCCAGACACAAGAAGACTAATGGTCACTGCCAGCCAATCAAAGTGAGTACAATATTACCTTGCAGTCTGCATCATGCATATATAGGCATCAGAAAATATGATTTAAAAATGTAACAGAAAGTAATATAAGAACAAGAACCATGGTTTTAAGAGAGGTCTCTCAACTTAGGCTGATGTTTTATTACCTAATATGTTAAAAGCTTACACTACACATGCATGTACAAGCATATGTATACTAACCCCTCTGGGGTTTCTTCTATTTTCTTCCTAGTTCTGTTTTTCTTTATTTCTGCTTATCTCCATGGGGAAGTGGAACAGAATTCTTCCTCCGTAAGCTCTGCATGTCGTAGGCGATGACTAAATGCCTGGAGCAATGGGCTAGTAACCCCTTCTTCTGTAAAAACTGCTAAAAACAAAGAAAAGAAAAACTATGAAATTGGGATGTTTGAATGTGTGCGGATGATTAGAAAGAAATGATTGCTAATGTTATGAATGAAATGCAATTGGATGTCCTAGCCCTAAGCGAAACAAATCTGAAGGGGGTAGGGGAGTTTCAGTGGGGAGAAATAAATGGGATTAAGTCAGGAGTATCTGAGAGAGTTAGAGTTAAGGAAAGGGTAGCAATTATGTTGAAGGATCAGTTGTGGAGAGAGAAGAGGGAATATACAGGTCTCCGTCAACATTCGCGAGGGTTAGGGGATCAAGAGCCTCGCGAATGTTGAAAAATCGCAAATGTTTGGTGCCCCAATATATTGTAGGGAAATATAATACAATACTGCTTCCTTAACTTGTTGAACCATGAACAATCATAAAATACATGAAAATGTCGTAAATTGTACTAAATACATACACGTTATGGTTTAATAACATGTATGTTATTAAATACCACTGCCTCCACCACTTCCTCGACCACTGCGGGTCCCTACTACCCTCCCTCCGACCCCCGTATCTGGCAGCCAGCCCTCCCACCAGTGTGGTGAGTGTTTTGTTTGTTCATTATTTGCTATTAAACTACAGTATAAATAATGAGGAACTTTTAAATGTTAAGGAAGAAACAGAGGCAGTAATTTCATGCACTGGTCAGGGAGGTATACCATCTTTTAGGAGTGAAGAAGAGCAGAATGTAAGTGTGGGGGAGGTACGTGAGGCATTACGTAAAATGAAAGGGGGTAAAGCAGCTGGAACTGATGGGATCATGACAGAAATGTTAAAAGCTGGGGGGGATATAGTGTTGGAGTGGTTGGTACTTTTGTTTAATAAATGTATGAAAGAGGGGAAGGTACCTAGGGATTGGCGGAGAGCATGTATAGTCCCTTTATATAAAGGGAAAGGGGACAAAAGAGACTGTAAAAATTATAGAGGAATAAGCTTACTGAGTATACCAGGAAAAGTGTACGGTAGGGTTATAATTGAAAGAATTAGAGGTAAGACAGAATGTAGGATTGCGGATGAGCAAGGAGGTTTTAGAGTGGGTAGGGGATGTGTAGATCAAGTGTTTACATTGAAGCATATATGTGAACAGTATTTAGATAAAGGTAGGGAAGTTTTTATTACATTTATGGATTTAGAAAAGGTATATGATAGAGTGGATAGAGGAGCAATGTGGCAGATGTTGCAAGTATATGGAATAGGTGGTAAGTTATTAAATGCTGTAAAGAGTTTTTATGAGGATAGTGAGGCTCAGGTTAGGGTGTGTAGAAGAGAGGGAGACTACTTCCCAGTAAAAGTAGGTCTTAGACAGGGATGTGTAATGTCACCATGGTTGTTTAATATATTTATAGATGGGGTTGTAAAGGAAGTAAATGCTAGGGTGTTCGGGAGAGGGGTGGGATTAAATTTTGGGGAATCAAATTCAAAATGGGAATTGACACAGTTACTTTTTGCTGATGATACTGTGCTTATGGGAGATTCTAAAGAAAAATTGCAAAGGTTAGTGGATGAGTTTGGGAATGTGTGTAAAGGTAGAAAGTTGAAAGTGAACATAAAAAAGAGTAAGGTGATGAGGGTGTCAAATGATTTAGATAAAGAAAAATTGGATATCAAATTGGGGAGGAGGAGTATGGAAGAAGTGAATGTTTTCAGATACTTGGGAGTTGACGTGTCGGCGGATGGATTTATGAAGGATGAGGTTAATCGTAGAATTGATGAGGGAAAAAAGGTGAGTGGTGCGTTGAGGTATATGTGGAGTCAAAAAATGTTATCTATGGAGGCAAAGAAGGGAATGTATGAAAGTATAGTAGTACCAACACTCTTATATGGGTGTGAAGCTTGGGTGGTAAATGCAGCAGCGAGGAGACGATTGGAGGCAGTGGAGATGTCCTGTTTGAGGGCAATGTGTGGTGTAAATATTATGCAGAAAATTTGGAGTGTGGAAATTAGGAAAAGGTGGGGAGTTAATAAAAGTATTAGTCAGAGGGCAGAAGGGGGGGTTTGTTGAGGTGGTTTGGTCATTTAGAGAGAATGGATCAAATTTGAATGAAAATGGAAAAGCATATAAATCTATAGGGAAGGAAGGCGGGGTGGGGGTCGTCCTCAAAAGGGGTTTTGGAGAGAGGGGTAAAGGGAAAGGTTTTGTGGCAAGGGCTTGGACTTCCAGCAAGCGTGCGTGAGCATGTTAGATGGGAAAGTGAATGGAGATGAATGGTACTTGGGACCTGACGATTGTTGGAGTGTGAGCAGGGTAATATTTATAAAGGGGTTTCAGGGAAACCAGTATTTTCATATAGTCGGACCTTGAGTCCGGAAAAGGGGAAGTACAATGCCTGCATTTTAAAAGGGAGGGTTTGGGGAAATATTGGCAATTTGGAGGGATATTTTTGTGTATCTTTATATGTGTATGCTTCTAGACTGTTGTATTCTGAGCACCTCTGCAAAAACAGTGATAATGTGCGAGTGGTGAAAGTTTGAATGATGAGAAAGTATTTTTTGGGGATTTCTTTCTTTTTTAGGGTCAACCCTGCCTCGTGGAGGAGAGGCCGATTTATGAAAAAAAAAATATAAAAAATAATATGGTAAACCCATTCGAGACTGCATATTGGAAATGGCTAATCGGAAGGAATTGGACGGAAAGTCATGGGGGTTTACTTATAGAGCAGCAAAAACAATATCTATGCAGCAAAAATAACAATATAATATATAGTAATCAAACACTTATAATTGGTGAAGGAAATTGTACAAAATGCGAGGGAGTGATTGACATCGAGTGGTGGCTTTGTTCATGTGAGGCATTGTCTGCTGTTAAATATTTCAGAAAATTCATTGTGTTGGTGCTTGTAGATGAGTGGAGAATAAGTATAGTCAGAGAGCAGGGGTGGTGAGTGGTTGGCATGGTAAGGCAGAGAGGCAAGTGTAAGACATGGTAGAGGAGTGTTAGAGGCAGTGGTGGGTAGTGGTTGAGGCAATGGGTTGGGGAGAGGTGGGGTAAGGAGTTGCGGTTTAAGGGGCTTTTAACTTATAAATGATAATTTAATACATATTATTAACAATATGTATTAATATTATTTTTTTTATTTTTTGGTTTTATTATAAGCGGCGATTCAACCAGTCATGTTGCCGAAAAGGGAAAAACTTGATCTGAATTCACTCCATCACTTTTGAGAAGGGGCTTTACTACATTTGCAAATTTGCAACATTAACACTGATCCTTATAGGATGTACTTCCCATCTCCAGTATTCAGTCCGGCCTGCTTAACCCTGAATCTCTGTTAAAGTTACTTTGCTCAACTCCAACATGACGTCAAGTATTAATCCTTTTGGGTTTTCTTCACTCTTATCAGACGCACGCTGCCTGGTGGAAGGCCAACTTGTAAAAAACAAAACCTCACTAAACCTAAATCCCGTCAACCCTTCCTAGCCTCCTACCCCGACTGCCTTCCACTACAGATATAACTCTTGAGTCTTTCTGTTGCTCCATTTCTCTATGTCAACCACAAACAACATTCTGCACGCTAAATAACAGTTTTGAATCAATCCCTCTAACATCAAATAAAAGAAATTCTCTGCATAATTCACACCAGAATTGCACTCAGTCATGACATTGCCTCCTCCATTCTCGTGAGCATGCTCTCTTCCAAACTTCACAATAATTCAGAGTTTGGTGGAAACTATATGTAAATTCCCCTGGTTAGCCTCCTGGAAAAGTTCTTTGTATCACAGACTCTAAGGCACAGTAGCGCTTGTTCGCCAATGCTATGATGCACTCATAGTCATAGAGCATGCTGACAGGTCACCAATTTGAACAATGGGTTCCCCATACCTCGTCCGCCACGTATATGGCAAGCTTTATCACAACTGTTTTATTATTAATACAACTTACCTTTCCTGTATTCACCTTAATTATTTTTTAAATTATTATAACATGTAGTTTATTAAATACCACTGCCTCTACCATTGCCTCAACCGCTGCCTCAACTGCTGCCTCACCCACTGCCTCACCCTCTGCCTCAACCGCTTCCTCAACCGCTTCCTCAACCACTGCCTCAACCGCTTCCTCAACCACTGCCTCAACCGCTTCCTCAACCACTGCCTCAACCGCTTCCTCAATCACTGCCTCAACCGCTTCCTCAATCACTGCCTCAACCGCTTCCTCAATCACTGCCTCAACTGCTTCCTCAATCACTGCCTCAACCGCTGCCTCAACCGCTGCCTCAACCGCTGCCTCAACCGCTGCCTCAACCGCTGCCTCAACCGCTGCCTCAACCGCTGCCTCAACCGCTGCCTCAACCACTGTCTCACCCACTGCCTCAACCACTTCCTCAACCACTGCCTCTACCACTCCAGTCGCACTCAATCTACAAGAACCAAACAACGAATTATTGTGAAATGTTTGGAAGAGCACGGAGACTAATGCTCACTCCAGCATAAACAAAGCCACACTGATGATGTGTCAACCACTCCCTCGTATTTTTGTACAATTTCCTTCTTCAATTCTATCGTATTTATTATTATTATTATTATTATTACTATTGTTATTATTAGCAGTAGCAGAAATGTTTGATTCTTTGCTGTGTTCAAGAGTAAACACATGATGTCACCGTCCAATA